AAAGAAAAACTACTCATAGGTAGTAAACCTTGTTTTGATAGTTCCATCTGAACTTTCCTGTACATTTATATTTCACAACTTCCGATATAATACCAACCTATATCGTTAGAACCATCCACCTCGTCAACACAGCCTCTTGGGAAACAAACAGCATAAAACGAAGTTGGTGGTTTCTCATTGGTAGAGTCGTCAGTCGCCGAAAGATGCCCATCATCACCACTGACGCAATTGATCTGAGTTGTCGAAACGGTGTCAGAACTTGTTCCGGGTTCTTGATCACCAGAACTACCCGTCACAGAATGCTCACTCTGGACTTGTATGTTCAATAAACCGCTATCAGTACTGTCTCCACCGAATGACGGACACTGCGAGTCTTCGATCGCTCCTCTTGACTGAAGCAAACAGTTGGCTAATTTACGTTCGAATAAGGATCTTGTTGTGTTAGTAATCGGGCCAGATGGGAGACTATTTTGTCGAAGTTGATCTTGAAGTTCTTTCACACTAAGCTTGGAAAGTCCTTTCCGAATGTCTTCCATAATCAGAATATATCTGAGTAATGAACTTCTTCTCCGAAAAAACACATTAAAATCCACGTAGTTGTCGGAAAATAAATTTCATAGTTCACAGAAATCAAAAAACCCGGTATCGGAACTTGTTTCATGCGCATGCTCGGAGAAAATATTGCTGTTTAGGTGGGCTGTTTTTGTATGCTAGGTTCCTCTAACTTCATGTCATTGTACTCCTCCCAGCATTCCTCTTAGGAAAAAATTCTACTTCCGGAAGCGAGGCAAGCTCGTGCAGAACCAATCAAAAAAATGCATTAACAGTCACGTGACATGTAAAACTGGGTCGGAGGGAAGGCAGAGTTGTTGTGGACGAGGATTACCCAAGTCAATTGAACGAAGTGATCGAAAAATTGCTAATAATAATTGTTCTTGGTAATCGGTTGTTTCTGAAGAAATGTATTAAAACGTGTCGGTCACTGTATCCCTACTAGCTGGCTCGTGTTTGTATGACGTGCGACAAGCGATCAACAAAGACCCCGTAAGTATCGACATTGACTGGGATTGTTCATTTATTTTCAAACTGTTTGACGGGACGCGGCTACACAGAGTTTTTACACAGGATTCATTTTGTAACTTACCGATTCAGTTGAATTATAATTTTGAGTTGTGATACATGAAATTCAATACATGAAATTCAATAAAATTGTAATTCACAATGCAAATCTAACCGTAGAGGACCAGTAAAATTAAAAAACAACAACTGCTGAGTGTCTATTTGTACCCGGAAGTGGTCGCTTGCTATTCAGTACAAAGTCCCTCAACACCTGTGCAATGTGCCCGGCATAAGCTCATTTGACATACGCTTGTGGAATGACTGCACCGGTCTTCTCACTAATACTAAAAATACAGTCCCAGTACTGCATATAGATAAATGTATACTATCGCAGATTTATAAGTGGTTGGATTAGTCAAAAAAACATCCTCTCTAAATCGGGTATTGAATCTTTTTAAATGGTTGACCATTTTTTTCAATATAGCGGTATATTTATTTGCACATGACAGATACATTTTAAAGAATTCACTGAATTCTAAATACATATACTAATAGTAATTGACTGTTATACTCGTAACTCGTTCCATTTAGTTCATAAAGTTGGCTCATTATCTGTTTCAAAAGGAAAGTTTGCTCACCATTTGCAACAAGGATTTCTTATCTGATTTGCTGAACAAAAATTTGCTCATTATTTAGCCACTGCCATAAGATAAGGGTATGCAACTTAAGATATATATGTACAATATATAATGTGATGAAAAGCTTGCATTAATTAATTTAATTCTAAATAATGAAAATGCAGATTGAACCAATTTATTAATATACAGAATAGAAATTGTGGTGACGTGTTGGTGTAGAGTGGGATTACATAACTTGATATTGTGCTACCATTTTGGAGATTTTCTAATTAAATATTGAAATGCCATACCATATTTACACTATGCAAACCCTTTGTCAATGTGTATTTTATCGTCAGAACTGTATTGTGAAAATAAGAACAACATGAGTTGTGTTCACGTTACACGAAGTACGGGCTAAGATTTAAGCTGATTTAGGCTTATCTAGCATATTTGCATTTCGGCTAGACCCAATTGCGTCCACGCACAGAGAGGACCAGTCGTTAGCACGGGCTAAGGGCTGCCATTCGTTGGTGAACTTTGGTAAGCCGCTATTTACGAACGAAAAATGGATGACACGCGCGAGGTTCTATTTCTGCTGCTGGCATGTTTCGTTCTAATTTTGAAGCGACGTGCACAGGAACGCGAGAGAAGACGGACCACTTATTTGGATGCACATAAACAGTATACAACGGGTGTAACAGAATACAGCGTTTTATTAATGCATGTCGTAGACAGCGAACCAAATTTATTTTGTCTACGATTGGAGCTGCTGTACGCTCTACTACAGTGAGTAATGACTGGTGGAATAGTGTCGTTATGCGAACATGGGACAATTTTCACACCCAAAGGTCGCCGCAGAGGGTGCTTAGCCCTGGGCTAAGCGTTCGCGCATACTTCGTTAGCCCGTGCTAAGGTCTAGACCGCGTCTTAAATTCGGATCAGATTTAACCCGTACTTAGCATTCCTTAGCCCGTGCTAAGCGTTCACGCACGTTTTCTTAGCACGGGCTAAGGAATTTGACCTCTTAGCCCGTGCTAAGGAGCTGTGCGTGAACGCAACTATGTTCTATGACAACACTAATACCCGCTACCCCAAAAATGCTATTATTTAATTTGGTTCAACTTTGTAGTAATAAGCGTACTTGATTTGTTTATTATACTTTATTGTACAGTAAAAAGAAGAATCAAGATGAATGGTTTCAGTACGGAAGATGATAGTCGTGGAGGACATGATCAAATCTGCTGTTTAGTTGATGATGGAGAGAGATGTTCACGACCAGCTGGTAATGCAAGCTATAGCAAAAGAATTGCAAAGACAGTACAGCAAAGAAAATTAAAACTTAACATAGATCACAGTGTAAGGTTTTATAATGTCTTGCATTTTTGTGAATTTTGTTCCACAAGCCTAATAGATTGGAATACCTAACGAACTACCGGTAATTTCTATTGAAACATCTTCAACTTCATGACTTGAAATGATCATAGCTATCAATATACTTTGGCTGCCAAGATTTCATTAGAAGCGAAAAAACCTGTTTTTGATCTTCAGATTCTGTTTCATTCTCTTCTGTCATTGTGTTCACGTTCTTTGTCATCTAATCCATGGTATTTATAGTATAAGTATCGACAAGAGAAAATAGAACACTGTGTGGTTCTCATTTGATCGTAAATACATACTGCAAAATTATGTACTGGGATTTTTGGTGAGAAAAAAAAAATGTTTTTTGAACAGTTAACTACTTTTTTAAACTGTGAAGGTAGAAAGAAGGGTCCTAGTTCCGGTAACTCAATGTCATGAAAAGAGTTCCAACTTTGTGAATATCAGTATGATATTGTTAAAAATATACCAAAGAACTTTGACACAAGTTGTCTTGAGCCCTGCTTGATTAATTATTAATATTCTAATCTGTTTAGGTCCGGCATATCTACATCTGTGACTTCCATAAAGGTGTTATACAGAGTGTAAGGAGTCGTAAAAAAAGAAAGGAAGGCAGCGAAGAGGACAATGCTGTAGTTGGTGTTGGTGGTGGTGGTGCATCCCCGGAGTACGAGTATGATCTGCCAGAGGTAATATCTCATTGTGTTAGATACTAACCTCTAGAGGGGGGGGGGGGGTGATACCATGGTTATGGTTGTATCTTGTACATTGTACTTCAAATCGTGGGTCACATGACCAAGAGTGGTATAAATGATATTAGCTTTTGCATGATTTCTGAAAGTGATATATGACAGACTAATAGATCTGCTATAGTGACATGCCCTGGTATTAGTGTCATGTTTCCCTTACATCAGTTTGTCACTAGCACTTCATATCAATACTGTTTAATTCAACAATTCTATCTTGAACACCCTGTCCTAATGTAGATGTAGAATAGCTGTAATAGAGCAAATAAAACTATATTGTCTTAGTTTATGCTAATGAGTTCTTTTCATTTTCATACTTTCCAGGTTGACTTGTTTCAACTACAGATGAACACTTTAAGAAGGTACAAAAGACATTATAAACTACAGACAAAACCTGGACTAAATAAAGTGTCTCTTGCTGAGGTGAGTTTCAATATAAACATAGATATTTAGACATCCACACTTCATTACTTTGTGTGAACACTTGAAATAGTGACACAGTATTTAGCCTGCCATGGCTGTGTGATTCAGTAATTATCAGTGAGATATACACTGTGTGATACTGTAATCTGAGGTGTGAGATATACACTGTGAGATACTTTAATCTGAGGTGTGAGATATACACTGTGAGATACTGTAATCTGAGGTGTGAGATATACACTGTGTGATTCAGTAATTATCAGTGAGATATACACTGTGAGATACTGTAATCTGAGGTGTGAGATATACACTGTGTGATACTGTAATCTGAGGTGTGAGATATACACTGTGTGATACTGTAATCTGAGGTGTGAGATATACACTGTGTGATACTGTAATCTGAGGTGTGAGATATACACTGTGAGATACTGTAATCTGAGGTGTGAGACGGCTATCTTTCATTATTGCATTACTGATTACAAAACTATGCTACCGGTACTTTGTCAAACATTTGTAAATTGTCATTAGATTTTTTCAGTTACAAAACATTAATTTTTCAAGCTGCCTTTTGTTCGATAAACTGGTCACCCATTGTGCATATTAATGGTTATGCTGGAAAAAAAACCCCATATATATATATATTAATAAATAAACTAATTAAGAATTTATTCCAATCTTTTTGTTTCCAGACTATTTCAAGACACTTCAAGACGTTACCTGTGCAGGAGAAAGAGACTCTGACTTATTTTATTTACATGGTGAAGAACAACAAAAGCCGATTTGATCAGAGATTGGACAGCAGTATAAATTAAAGCTGAATAGATGTCCAGGTGTCTGGTTTTGTAGGCCAAATATGATAACAGAGTATACCAAATTTGACAAATGTGTTGGCATATTTGATTTTTTGGAACATTTGTGAAATGCATATAATAGTTTATGTGTAATAAATGTTCATAGGAGTACCAATCAATGATGTCCAATCACAAGTTCATGTTCAGATAAACACATGACACTCTGATACTTGTTAAATACATTTTTTTTTCTGTGAAATTCAGTTAAATATCAGAGATATCAAGAATTCAACTTGTGTATACTGAAAAAAAATCATTTTTAAATATTGAAATTGTTGGTATTTTATTTCTACTCATTTCTGCCAACCGGCCTGTACATCTGGAACTTTTTTTCCCCTTGCCAAATTCTTTTGTTTAAACAAGTGAAATTACATTTGTCTCCGTGAGGGCACAATATGCCCCTTTAGGTTGGGTAAATTTTAAGATCATAAGTCTATTTGCTATAAGAAAATGGTTTTTAATAAATGTTCGTTAGCCTGCTACGTATATAATAGTCTTTTTTTATTTCCTTCACTGCACCAGTAAATTTCTGCCTCGTTATTGATGCTATATGAATTGCATTACTAATTACGTTAGTTTTAATTAATGTTTTGAGCTCCCTTCGTTACACACTCTGGTGGTGTGCTAATATTCCAATTTTGTCTGTTTGTGTATGTGGCATGGGGAGGGGGGGGGTGGTGATTTTGCCAAGTAAACGCTCTATAGCTCTTCAGAATGCCAGGAAACCAGCGAATAAATTACGAGAGTTAAATATCACCGCTCCTCCCAATATTATAGTCTATTGTGTTTCCACCAACTTATCCTGTGGTTATAGTTTAGCTCGGATCTTGACCTTGGTCCATACTCCAAGTGTTTAGTGTTTCTCCCCTTTTTTTGAATAACAGATTTTTCTTTTATTATACTAGTATACAATGAATGTACTATAACCAATAAAACAATTCAAAACATTGAAACAATGCTCGATTATTTTAAAGCGACTTTCAACACTTAGCATGCAGATGACTGTCATACATTGTACAGAGCCCAATAACTTCAAAGCATCAAAAACCATCTACAAATGTGATACCTCACCTGAAACTTTCTACTTGCAAACAACGATTACAGATTAGTGGAGCAAATTTTTACCTGTGTTTTGCAAAGTTTATTCAAGTTGATTCTTGTTGGTGGCAACATTGATTATATAATCGTCACAATTGACTGAATTTTAATTACATACTCCAAATAGTGTATATGCTCAATAGACACAACTGGGTAATAATTCTAAAAATGTGTTCATGCTTGTTTTTTTTGAACCCCGATTACCCAAAGAGTTCATTATGTTCTGTGTACCATAATGTAAAAGAAAACAGATTTCAGTTGGGCAAGTTTTACCCCTTGTGTGTGAGGCCTATTTCTAAACAAGAACAACCATGGTATACAGTGTATTTTTATCACGGTTTGCATAATTAAAAACACGCTCCCAAACAAAAAGAACGACGTATTTGGCCAATTGAAATGCTGGAATAATTAAAAGTTATATTTGTAATGCATTGGTATTTTTGATTTTACTGTGTCTGCATATCTCTGGAAATAGGTTGCTTCAGTGATAGTGATTGTGAGTGGCAATGAGTGAATACAAAACATGGTCTGAGAATTTGAAAGGGTAATTCCGGGGAATAGAAGGCCTAATATTGTCTAGAAAGTTGGTTGTTTTTTAGTAAAACAATGGTTTATTCATTGTTACATTACTTTATTATGGCGAGTCATTGCGTTAATCAAAACTATACCTTGAATCTGGGAATTTCTAGGTGGACAGACATACAAAACGTATATTGTATTCATTGTCGTACATATTGTACTTAATTGACGCTAGAAGGACCTGAACAGGGTAGTAACAAGAGGGATTTACGAAAACTGTATTCTCGTCAAGCCAAAGGTGTCACCAATGGAGGGCCACATGCTTATTACGTGCGGGGCCTGATTGAATTATCAGCTAATAGACTGACAATGCAGCTGTGTTGCAAGCAATGTAGCCTCCAAATATGATAACGTTATACTCCCCCGAAGAAACGTGCGTGTATGTATGTCTGTTCCACCCTTAGAACAGTTTACGAAATTTCATTGAAACTTGGCAATTCTGTATGGTATGGAGGCCACTGATTAGGAGAGTGTGACAAGCTCACCCCGAGGCAAGCAGTCCTGGGGCAGCCTTGACGCAGTGTTGACGCGGTCTTGAGAGAGTTCCGACGTGGCGCTGAGATGAGAGGTTGAAACGATTCGATTCTCTGTGTGTCTTTGTTCGATAGAAAGGTGGAGAATTCCCCGAACTTGGTACCTCTGACGCGAAGGTTTAATAAACACTCAAATTAATCTTTCACACTTTTAAAATTGCCAGCACGTAATAAATGTCCATGTTCACCCTGAATTGTCAGATAATCTCACAATATGACATAAAATCGTCCCGACAACTTGTATTTCTATTTGAATTAGACATAATTATTCTTCACACAAGATGGGTGTTTCACGTCTTTGTTTGTCGGCACACTCACCAGTGTTAACGAAACAAAACCACTACTATCTGACACCAAAATCAAACAATTAAAACATTGCCCAACTTTTTTAAGTACTCCAAATGGCCGACTTCATTCAGTGTAAATAGGTTATGAAATGCTAAATATAAACCATTAAAGTTTTGTCCAGCAAATTTAAAGCGTTGTTTCTTCGAATTGGAAGTTTTGTACTGCGAATTAAAAGTTTTGTCCTTCGAGTTTTGAGTTATGTCCTGTGAATTTAATGTTCGGTCGCAAGAAATCAGGTAAGTTGTCCTGACACTAAGGGCCACCATAGCATTGAAAACAAAGAACCTAATGAACTAATCCACCTTCCCTAGGATTCATTAATCTATCTCTTTTTTATGTAGTTAGCCATTTTTTCAAAACCGTTTAGATATCGGAAAATAGTGTTTGGTATTGATAACAGGTTGTTGGTGTATTTGAATTCAGTTTCTGTTCTGTTTGTATAATTGAAACAACATTCAAAATAAACTGACACCAATGGAGAAATGGACAGTTGTGTCATTATATATAAAGAGGGGAGGCAAGGGGGGTAGCTGGTACGGTTTTACGGGAAATAAAAAGGGCGTTTTACAATTTACAAGGAAAAAGACGTTTTTACAGTTTACTGTGTTAAAAAAGGGAACATTGAATGGTCCGAAGAGCTCCCCGGCTCAAATTCTCCGCCATTGCTGCGCCGTGTGTAGAGATGCACGCGCATATTACCCTCGTATTGCTCTTCATTCGGTTAGAGGGCCTTTTACGTCTTGACATTCAATTTTATAGTGAATTTTGTAATCTAGTCGTTTTACAGTTTCTAAAATGTAATTTTCTTGGATTATCTTTACGATTTTTTATTTGGATGTAAATTCTTGTATGTACCGAGAAAAATGACACATTTTTACAGTGTACGAAAAAAATATTTGATCGATTACGTTGTACGTCTAGCCTGTGATTACAGAATTACGGAATTTATTTTTTCAATTTACGTAGTACGAACAAAAAAATATTGCAATTACGTTGAACAAAAATAACCCTTGCCCCCTCTCTATAAACATATGGCAGCGATAAATACTTTAGCGTTATATTCTTAATGAAATGGCATTGATATCTGAATGTTCAGCAATGTTTGTCTTTCTTATTACTGTTCTGACACATTTCGAATATTTCACATGCACAATGGTGACTTGAATGAGTTTTGAGTAAAATCCTAGATAAATGTAGCTAGTTATTAAATACAAAAAAAACATGGAATACAGTCACAATTAATTGCACACGAGTGTGCAATTTTGGTAAGTCTTATTGTCAGATACATTGTCAACAAAGTGAAGAAGAAATAAGAAATCTTATCAAGTTCAGAAGGTATAGCAAATCTGTGTAAGTTCTGCATGAACAGATAAATAATAAACGTATTGACTTCTTTCAGCCATTTTTCCTTTTTCTTTGTGTTCAATTTGTGATTACCAATAAGGGAATAGACCAATGACAGATGTCAGGTGTCAAGTGAGTGACTTCTTTATTGACAACCTATCTCTATGCGTGTTCAATGACGTATTGTTTTTATCTCACTTTCCTGCTGTTGTCGTGCTCGACTTAGTATTATTAATTAGAGAATGTGTTAAATTGGGGATATCAAGGTGCTAAGTGTGCGTACTTCCTTATTAATGTATTGAACTGTGTGTTTAATTACGTATCGGATTGCCGTCATCAATTCGTTTGTCCGTGTTTGATTGCGTATACTTGATATATTAATGTACTGAACTGCGTATTCATGAACGTATTTTCTTTCAGTCATATTTCCATTATTGTCGCGTTTGACTTGGTATTATTAATCACGATGCGTGTTCAATGACGTATTGTTTTCTAGCCAGTATTTCTTTCCACTTTTCCCTTATTGTTCAGATGCTTATAACAGTATGTTGTAATCTGAGATTTTTAGGTAGTAAAACAAATTAATGTAGTTTGTGTTTTTCAAAACACATTTTCAGATGCCGTATCACATGTCTAATTAGTTTAGGATGGTTAGTATTGATAAGGATAGTAAACTTGTTGATATTGTTTTTAGACTGGAAAAAGGGATTTCCTTAGTAAATTCAGCGTACATAATATCCATCTCATCAGTATAATAGCTACAGTCTTTAATAAAATGAACTTCGTCTTCAATACTGTCACTCCTACACTTATCACAAATCCTGTTTTTTATGGAATTGTAGGTCTTGTATGTCTGCCTAATTTAATATCTTGTCCATTATTTAACAGTTGTAGGTATTTAGCTGGACTAATATCACTTTAAGTAGATTGTAAGATTTGAGTTTGGAATCTGGTCTCTTGATATTATTAATCCACATGTTAGTATAATGGTTTTTAGTTTTCTGGTAGAGTACATTACTAGAAACAGTCAGGAGATCAATATTATGCAGGTCAATTTTGTTAATGTCTTCCAACCATGATCTTTTATAGCAGTTGTTTTCAAGTTCTTTAACTGCATGGAAGTTAAAATTAATTGAACCATTGTTTTTAATGTTTTGGTAGTACATGACAGCTTGAATTTGAATCTTTGAAATTAAAGGTAGCCTGCCAGTTTCAAGCCTATTGTACTACTTTTGTTATTAATATTCAAAATGTGCCTGTGAAATTTTTCAGTAACAGTGGTGTCCCACTTTTCTATATATATATCCCATAACTCAGATGCATATAGTAAAATAGGTAGTTGTAATTTCAAAAAGTTTGGTCTTAAGTTTAAAATTGTTGGAATTGTTATCATAAATAATAGCCATCAGTCGTTCTGCTTTTCTAGCCTTATCTGAGAGTCTCTCCATAGTTTTGTTTAGGGAGCCATTGCTGCTTAATGTCACACCTAAGTATGTGAATGCTATGGTATGGTTTAGTGTCATGTCACCATAAGTAAAAAATGGATCACCTTTTTCACCATAGTATGTAAAGTTAGAATAT